TAAACTTACCCTTACTAGTTCATCTTTATACCTTTACTAGCTCCAGTTTGTTGGATTTCAGTTAAAGAAACATTCATTGATGTCCTCAGACAAAGAGAAGCACATTATTAATTACGTGCTAGCTCAAAAACACAGCATCCCAGAGACCTGTCGTCTGATAAATACATGCAAATTATAACTATGGGGAACATGTCTTCTTTGTGCCCCTCAGGCTGATGCTTCCCAAGGCACAGGCATCAAGTATGTGGGTCAAGGTGCTATGTGCGCAGGAAGTCAAGTTGATCAAATGACAGCTTTCTAGATTGCAGGCAAATCTCCTTTGGGTGGGAATGTCCTATGTGGAAAGAAATAACTTGGGTGACAATGTGAGAGGCAAGTTAAAGAATTATAAAGCCTCTGAATGTACTTTTTGCATTTGTATTTTTATTTTTTTCTTGCTAGTCACAGCAAATCCTAACTGTTCATTTTGGATATAACTTGAGCTATTTTAATGCTACTAGATGCTGCTTCTCTCATAGTCTATGTTCCTTGCATTAAAAAGTTTGTCTTTTTAAATAAAGCAAAAAGAAATGAAGAGCATATTAATACATTTCCTTATTTGGTAAGGGTTCAGAAAGAACTACTATAAATAGTATATGTTTTTATAGCCACACACTCATTTGCAAGGTGACGTAGTCTACACGGTAGATGTGTAGAACTGGTGCAGATTTATGATGCTTGAGGAATGCCAGCGTTAAGAAAATGTGTGCAAAGTATAAAGATTCTAATTTTTAAGAGAATGTTATGCAGATATTTAGGCTCTTCCGGCAAGAAAAGAAGCTTAAGCAAAAGTAAGAGAGAGAAGGATCTCATCGAGGTTAGCGAGTGCTGGGATTTCGGTAGGAGCAGCAGGCTAGAGAGAAGAAGGTTCCTGACAGACACTTGCTCCTGGCGTGGGCTTGCTGGTGTGTTCCTCTGTCTTCCTGTAAATCGAGCCCAGTTTGTGACACCAGACAGAGAGATACATCCTGTGTTGGGTCTCAAGACCCAGAAGGTCTGAAGGGACTCGCTATGTCATACCCATGGCTGAGTGGCGACAGCCCTGGGACTGGGAGCACCACCAGCAGAGGGGTGAGGTGCTCGGGAGCAGGGCTTCCGAGAGACCCCTCCTAGGGGAGCTGCAGTAGCTGCCTGGCGACAACCTGTGGGAAGCTGTCTGAGGCTTGGCATGCAGGCTTTTGGGGGCATTGATCTTGTAGGCAAATTTGAGACTTTTCAGGAGGGAAAGTAAGTGTTCATACTTTGCAAAATGGCTTGCCTTTTAGTGATTAGTGGACTGGGGACATTCTAGTCAACGGTCAGCCTTGGGAGCAGTATCTTCAGAAGAGGCGGGCAGCCTTTCTGCTCAGCCAGCACTGCGCCTGAAGAGATGGAGGAAGATCCCTTCCCACCCTGGTGAGCCCAGTGTGCAGAGACTGAGGGTGAAAGTCAGATCACAGGAGAATTCCACTGGCGATCAGCGATGCCTGAATAAGAACCCCTTGTAAGGGCCAGTCAGGGCTGTGAGGGGTCTCAGGGGAAGTTGGTTTTAGATGAGTTGAAAAATCTTAGCCAGGCAAAGAGCAGAGAGGAGTAGGGCAGCTTGCAGCGTGACCCCCAACAGGGCTGGACTGGGCACATTGGAATCAGACAGAGGAATCCTGGGAAGAGACCGGGTCCATCCTACTCCACCCCTCCTTTCCGTCTCAGACTGGAGCTCAAGACCAGCCTTGTGACTCCAGGGGTGTCTGCTTTAAAGCCCCTCCCTTCCTTATCAAAGCCAGATTTTCCAATTTATAATTTGGGGTAAATGTGTAATGTGTTATTCTAAGTGAGACGTAACACTGACCCACAGGAGTCCTGTAAAGAGAAATAATCTCCAGCAAGACAAAGCATGAAATATTTGAGGCAGTTTGGCTTCATGAAATGAGAACTCTTAACCTTGGTTTTGTGTGTTGTTGTTTTAAAAGCAGTAAAAGCAATCTTCTGTCCCTGAGCTTCTGAGTGATCCTTAGAATGTGTCTGCATCATGATTTCTTCTTTATGCTATAAAATTCTGTGGGTTTCAGCAAGTGCATGTATCCTTTGCTCACCATTAAAATAGTTTAATCACAGATGCTCTGTGTTTTACCTAGTCACTATCTTCCTTCTCTTTGGACTCCTGGCTAGTATTGATCTTTGTGGTGCTCCTATGGTTTTGCTCTTTTGAGAGTGGTGAGTGCACAAATATGTACTACGTAGCCTTTTCAGACTGCCTCTTTTTCTTCTCAGCCATGTCTTTTCATGGCTGGTAGAGTGCTTGCTCGCCAGGTGCTCTACTACGGAGCCACGTCTCCAGCCCTTTTTTGCACTGATCATTTTTGAGATAATGTCTTGCTTCTTGCCCGTGCATGTTCCTGGACTACAATGTTCCTATTTTAGTCTTTCTTCATAGCTGAGATGAAAAACATACACCATCGAATGCAGCTTCTCCCATTCAGATGGATTCCTGCAGGTTTCTCTGTCCAGACTGTCACGATCCTGCTAATCAGCCTCCTACGAGTTGGGATGGCAGGCATGCACCAGTGTGCCCAGTATTGCTTGAGAAGAGGTCTTGAGAACTTCCCCCCCAGGCTGTCATTGATCCAGCCTCCCAAATAGGTAGGATTCCGGATGTGAGCCACAGGTGCCTAGCACATGCATCTGGAATGAGTTTTCTTGTCAGTTGAATGAACACCTGGTAAGATCAGTGTGATTGTTGGGTTGTACAGAAAGGTTATATTTAATATTTCAAGAATCTATCAGTTAACTTTCTGTACCATTTTAGATTCTTACCAAAAATACAGAGAATTGTTGCTGCTTTCCATCCATGCAGACAGAACTGTCAGATGGGTGGTCCCCATGGCTGTTGTGGTAGGCATGAAACAGAATATAAGCTTTACTTAACTTCAGCTCACCAATGACTATTGGGTATTCTTGGTGTGGCTCTGCCAATCTACCTTCTTTGTTGAACTATCCATTCATATCTTGGCCCCATTTAAAAAATTATTTTGTTTCTTTCTTACTGTTGAGTTTTAAGAGTTCTTGTGGATTTTGGATGCTAGCCCTTGGTCTGGTATGTAATTTGGCAAATAGGAACTGTATGATAATTCATTCAAACAAAGTGAGGTGGTAAGAAAGGATGAGTCAGTTGTGGCTTTATATTTCCAGGTTGGATTTCTAGAAAATTAGAGAGTAATAGTAACAGAACCAGGAAAGTTGACAGTTAAAATCTCCTTGTCAAGAACCGGCAGAACTCAATTTTGAATCCCAAACCCTGGGTTGGGAGACAGAGGAGGACCTGGGGACTGACTGGAGTTTAAAATGTGCTCAGACCCCAGATTCACAGTTTGGTGTCAGCATCATGGATGGAAGAGAAAGCACAAATTGAAGCGCAATTAGAAAGTTAGGAAAATAACTCTAAAGTTGTGTGCCACTGAAATTTCAAGGAGTCAGGTGTGGACTATGCCCTGTGGAGGACGTGTAAAAGCAGAAGACCTGTGTCATGTCCTCGGCAGGCCTGGTATGCTCTCCGGTGCATCAGTAGGGGGCGCTTTTCCTAGCTGCGTCAGGAGGCAAGACCGCTCTCAGATCTCGCGAGCCTTGCGGTTTTCAGCAGTGCGTACACTTTCTCAACTGAATTTAACATCTCCACCAAGGACACTTTTGCTTTGAATTGAGTAAGATGGGTTTCCCTTTTTTTTCCTTCAATTATAGGTGGATACGCACAGTGAAATTGACCAAGTATTGGTATCCTTGAAAGAAATTCCTTGCCTCCTCAGTTATACCCTAATGTGGTAGAATTCTAACAGTTGTGACTTTAGTATGGGCACAGTTAATTGACAGAGATGAATTCTGTGCTTCCTTAGAGACAGCATGCATCCTACTCTCTGGAGACGTACATAGTTCCTTTCCGTCTTTTCAGCCTCAGTACAGGTTTCCATTGCTTTTTTACACCTAAAGATTATACTTTATTAAAATAATTCAGTGAGAATATATGGTAGTAGTAAAAGCAGTCATCATCCCGAGAATAACCATTCATATCCCAATTGTGTTTAGTATTATTTAATTGAAAACATGTAATTTTATGTTTCTTATGGGTGCATGTAAAATTACTTAGTTTGAAAATCATTAGACTGTGAAAATTATTTTAGAGAAACTGTCTACAAAGAATATCAATGAACAAATGTCAAGGTTATTGTAAACTGAACATTAGTTATACCATTGGCTTACTATAGTGCTCTGGAGAAAAAGGAGGAATTTGTGTCATAAAACATAAGAATTTATTAATGTACTTTCTAAACATTTTTAGTACTGGTCTGTGTTATACTAGATTTTTCTGTGTGCTTCTATTGTTAAGTTTCATTTGTTTTGTGCTTAATATATGGTAACTATTTTCCAAAAATAAGTACTTCGTAGGGCTTAATGCATAACAATAGAGAACAACATTGGTCCATGTATAGCACTGAGGTTTGTGGTTGGAAAACAGTTTGTACCATTATGTAATACTTAGATGCTATATTTAAAATCCCTGGAGGTCTTACTTTCGAGTGCTAATATATATATATATATATATATATATATATATATATATATACACACACACATATTTATATGTATATGTATATATAGACACACTTATATTTCCACCAATATTTTACTATGTATGTACATACAAATTCCATATAATATAAAATTCTGTTTTAACTATTTTCTGTGTAAAGGTCGGTGGCATTAATTATATTCGCAGGATTCCTTAATCACCACCCGTGCACTTCCCAACCTCTACCTCAGTGGCACACAGAAGTGCCTGCCCCGTGAAACACAAGCTCTGCTAACTGCTGCTCTCCACCTTCCCTCCAGCAGTGCAGACGCTGTTCACAGCGTTGCAGGTCCCTACTGTGTATCGCATGTGTATGGAGACATTGTATAGGTGAATTTTATTCTTTTTATTTCTTTTACAGGTTTGACAGATGAAAAAGTGAAGGCATATCTTTCTCTTCACCCCCAGGTATTAGATGAGTTTGTATCTGAAAGTGTTAGTGCAGAGACAGTAGAAAAATGGCTGAAGAGGAAAAACAACAAACTGGAAGGTAAGACAATTCAGCTTGCATGTTGACTGATTTTAAACCAAGTTGTCCTAGCCAATACTTGTGAAATAAAAAGCATTAAATATATTCTGGAAGGCAAAATGTAACACTTAATGTTTTGTTTCTGTCAATTTTTTTTTGAAAAAGTTGAAACTGGAAAATTAAAAATTGGAAAGGAAAAATATAGAAATAAGACCCTTGACTTAAAAAGATGGCAACTAAGTCTTGGGAATTCTATCACATAGAAAAATGCACAAGTTGGTATTCTTCTGGATTTTATTTAATGCTTATCTTATTATTTAGCTTGGGTACTACAGTGAAACAACCGAGACAGTGAAGTTAGAGAGAGAAAAGGCTGTTCATCTTGCAGTTGTGTAGGCTCCAGCCCAAGCCCCCGTGGTCTGCGAGCTCTGGGCGGTGGTGAGGTGAGAACGTGGGGTCAGCACGAGCTGGGAAGCAGAGGCTGGAGGAGGAGGCAGAGCTCCCGCAACCCCCTCCCGGATATGTGGGGACATAAGGACCTCCCACTAGTCCCCATTATTGAAGGCCCGAAGCCCCTCCCTGGCCCCCGCCCCTCCATCTTAAGGACCTAACCTTTGATACGTAGACCTTGGCGGACATCACATACTCATCAGACCACACCGAGTACAAGGAAGGTGTAGAAAAATATTGTCCACCTGATATGTATGTGATGTGACAAACGTTTATTCTCATACATGCTACAGAAAGAAATCTGAAATCAAGTGTAGATACGCAGTCGGGAGGTCACTCCTGCCGTGGCATTTGGCCGTTGGCTTGAGGCATCGGCTTCTTTCTTTCATAAGTTTTTTTTTAATGTCAGTTGTGGGGCTTGAACTCAGGGCGTGGGCACTGTCCCTGAGCTTCTTTGCTCAAGGCTAGCGCTCTACCACTAGAGCCACAGAGTCACTCCCTTTCATAACTTCTATAATGAAGTCAGATAAATCTTTGAGAAAGCTGACTCAGATTCTGAAATATATAGCTTTTCAATTAAACGCAATATTTTTACCACAAGTATATAAATGGTTGTGCATGTTTTCATTAAGGGAAAGGGAGAGAAGAAATTAGACACAAGCGCTCTCTTCTCAACTGTCAAGAACAAATCTTAACATGGCCCGTTTTTGTAATTGCAAACCTTAAACATTTGTAAACCATTTGAGATGTTTGACACTTTCAAAAGCATGGGTAAGCTTTGCTGAGAGTGCATCATAAATAAACATGTAAATTTCAGCTTGTTCTCTGATGAGAAATAAATACATAATGCAAGATTATATTTGTGGAATTGAGTCCAGGTCCTCAAAATGAAAACAAACAAACAACTTATCTACTGTTTTAGTATTACCATTAGCATGAATACTTCATTTGGTATATCTTCCCTTTTTAAATTTAGCAATACTTTAAACTATTTAATACAAATACTGGTTGGTTTCTAAGACTAGGAAGCCGTAGCTGAAACTCTGTTTTGCAGTTTTCCGTTACTGACACTCCCTTGCCCCCTCCAGTCATTACTACCAAATTCTTATTCTTAGAGAGCTGATAGTTCTGACTAATGGTGCAGAAGCCCAGAGACCAGAGGCCGAGACTGTGAAAGGGCCTGGCCCCTGGTGTTGGCATCCAGTGGTCACCCCAGTGACCTCATCAGTGAGCAGGTGCTCAGGACAAGTATGTGACATGCATGGAGGACAGCCTTTAGTTCTGCTGCCCAGAGGAAGGCCCTCACCACCTCCTTTGAGGATGCGTATCTCATTATGCACACCTTCATATTCAGAGAAGTTCTGTCCCGTGGCTTCTGACAATACAAGAGCAAGGCCTTGATTCTTGTTATTTAACAAATACCCTCCAGTGATCCCCAGTCATCCCCTATTCTCCTTCACAGCCAATCACCCTCGAGGAGAGCATCCATTCCACACATCCTCTCAGGTAGATGCCCCCGAGAATGCTTGTTGACTGCCAGAGAATGCTGTCAGATTATTTCATTCTGTGTTATTTAGTAAAAGAGAAGGAAGTAAATGACTGTTCCAGAATGAGTATTTTGCACAATTATTCACACTTTTTTGGTAATGTGTACTTCATTTGTATTTTGTAACCGCCAACAAATCATCCCCATATGGGAATGTTCTGTATTGTAGCAATAGAAAATTCTGTGAAGTTATTTCTGCTCACAGAGAGATTATATATGGGAATTCAGCTATATAAACAGTAAAAGTGATTATTTAAATCAGAGGAGTATATTTGCTTCTGAAATAGTTTGTCTTGTGGTGTCTGCTATTTTCTTAAATCACTACTGTTAGTTTGGTGCTCATAAAACACAAATGTGGAGAGCAGGAGACTACAGAAATATGAATCAATATTGTGTGTTTCTAAAGCAAGTCTAACTCCTGAGGCCTTCCTAAGATATCAGACCTCTGTAGGTTTTACGCTTGTGGGATATTAGCTGTATATACTTAGTTGGTTTTGGTAGATGCTATAATTGCACCCTGGGAAGTGGGAGCATCAGGAGTTAACACAGCCAGTTCTTGGTCGAGTTATGACCCAGTAACAGTAGGCAGATGGAGGGCACGGGCAGCGTGCATCCTATTACCACTGCACCTCTCTACAGAGGACATAAAGTAGGGAGAAACTCTCCGTCTCTAAGGAGCCATTCTGATGCTGGCCACCGCAGTTGGTTACCACACCATGCACATGCCAGTTACTGTATAGCTTTCATAACTTTTGTAATGAAGACAGCTAGATCATTGGCTCACCTCTGCCATGGCTATTTACAAGCTTATTGATGAAGAGATTATGGGATACAGTTTGAACAACTTCTGTTCTAAATACTTGGGACTAGAAGTATTTCACATTTTAATTTCTAAAAACTTGTTGTGCCTGTCCTGGGGCTTGAACTCAAAGCCTAGGTGCTGTCCCTGAGCTCATGAAAGCTATTGTGAAAAATATTATTTTATGTGAATGCTTTTTATCCAAAATGTTTTTGTCTGATGAGATCTGGGGGACAAACTAAATCTCATCTCTAGGCAGCTGTGAGGATCTCCAAGTCCACATAAGCTGTGTGTTTATACTCATGAAAATACCAGCCAGCTCCTACTTACCCCAAAGCCTTTGACTTTGTAGACATGTTTTCTTGACTACTTTTCCAAATCTGCAGAGAAATCATTTGGTGACATAGCTTGCCATCCATCTAACACTGTGATATTTTAGGCAGTGTTTTACACAATGGTATGTACTAGATGTCCATTTAAAGAGTAAAACTTGAATGAGTAAATGAGTAATTCAGATGCACTACAGTGTCCCAAATGAGATTAGTTTTGATTCATGTTAAGAAGATACAAGAAAAAAAAAAGGAAGATACAAGGTTGGGGGCTGGGAAGGTGGCTCAGTGGTAGAGCACTTGCCTTGCAATGCATGAGGCCCTGGGTTCGATTCCTCAGCACCACATAAGCAGAAAAAGCCAGCTGGAGTGCTGTGGCTCAAATGGTATAGCGCTCGCCTTGAGCTAAAGAGCCGACAAAAATAAAGTAAAATAAAAAAAGATACAAGGTTGTATTTTTAGCACATTATGCTAAAATATAGCTCTTTATATTAGTGGGAAACTAACTTAGTTATATGTTAAGTGTGCCGTAGAAGATAGGTAATTTTTAGCACCCTAGAGTTCATCCCAAAAGGCAGATTTTAGTTAATTCTTCTGTGGCTGTGTTGCTGTGGCAAAGTGCATAGCTACATATATGCTTCAATGTCGAGTGTGGTGTTCACGATTGCCAGAGCTTTCCCCTGATGGCCTCACTGGTTAGAGAGTGGGGGTAAAACCCGTTTGAAGCCCCTGCCGGCTCTCCTGCTGACCTCACTCCTCCATCCATTAATGAAAGTTATTTTTGGCCATGTGAAAGCTGCTTGCAAGGTGTCCATTCATTCCTCATGTGTGTGGCTATGTCAGACTGTTAGGTGCTTTTATATTGTCAGCAGAAATACTGTTAACAAGTAAGGTTTTATGGAAGGCTGGTGAAGGAAGGTTCTTCAGTCTGGATCAGTGAAAATGAGTGTGTATCTGTGGGGAAAATGTGACACAGAAGTGAAGAGAGGTGTGGAGATGCAGCGTCGTTAAGGCTTGTTTGAAGCCGAGGGGAGGCCTTTGTCTTTAACTAGAGAGAAGTAGGAGCCTCTTCCCCTGTGCAGCGGGACCGTGCGTGGACAGGGAGAACCAGGTGCAAGAGCCGGGCCAATGCTGGCGTCGTGTCCGTGTCCACAGCCGGTCAGAGGGGCTGGCCTCAGCGGGGAAGAGCACACTGATGTGGGTGTGAACACTTGTGTCCACAGGTGTGTGTGTGTGTGTAAGTGGGGGAAGGTTCCAGGCCACTTACTTCAACGTCGCAGGTTTTTGGTGAGCCTGGGGAAGAAGGCGTTGGAAGGCTGAGCAGAGCAGAGCGCGTCCTCCGTGATGAGCGGTGTGCTGGTCTCCGGCCCATGCTGACGGCCGCTGGACGGTGAGGCCACGTCTTCGGGCCACGTCTCCACGACCTGGGGCCTGCCCAAAGACTCCCCAGCCAAGGCTCAGCTGCAGGTCTGGGCTGAGAGGCGGGCAGTGTCAGACGTGACCAGGGATGTGGTTTTACCAAGTGAATGTGGACTGGGGAGCGAGGTAACAGGGTGTATTATAAAGTGGATGAGTCAGGACAGGGGTCTGCCACGTAAGGAGAAGGTGTGGGGTCAGAGGGTGGGCACCAGGGTAAGGGCAGGCAGGGGGTGAAGAGGTGAGGGGGGGTAGGCACCAGGTAAAGACACATGGGGGGTTGATGGAGTCAGAGGTGAGGCGGGGCCGTTTCTTAGCTCAGCAGCACCGTGTGCTCGTCCGGCATGGCAACGTGTGAACATCTTTGCCGCCGCCTCCTCACCGTTCTGTTTGGGAGGCTCCCTGGGAGCATGCAGTGCTGGAGGTTGGTGTGGCCGATGGCAAGGGACTCCTCTTGTGGGAGACAGTGGCAGTGGGTTCA